TCTCTCTCTTCCTCTCTCTCTCTTCCTCTCTCTCTCTTCCTCTCTCTTTCTCTCTCTCTTCCTCTCTCTCTTCCTCTCTCTCTTCCACTTCCTCCCTTCGTTTCTTCTTTCTTTATAATGTTTATGTTATTTTTGAGAGAGAGAGAGAGAGCGAGCGAGCCCAAGCAGGGGAGGAACGGAGAAAGAGGGAGACACAGAATCTGAAGCAGGTTCCAGGCTCTGAGCTCTCAGTACAGAGCCCGATGCAGGGCTCGAACCCACAAACCACGAAATCATGACCTGAACTAAAAAGTCAGATACTTAACCAACTGAGCCACCCAGCCCCCAGTAAACATTTTTTTAAAGTTTTAAAATTTATTAGGGGAGGCGAATGGGGGAGGGGCAGAGAGAGGATCCCAAGCAGGCTCTGTGCTGTCAGCGCAGACCCCACCTGGGGCTTGATCTCACTAACCCTGAGCCGAAATCAAGAGTCAGATGCTTAACTAACTGAGCCACCCAGGCACCCGTTTTCACTTATTATTTTAAAATTATTAAAAAAAAATTTATTTATTTTTGAGAGAGAGTGCAAATGCACGAGCAGGGGTGGGTGGGTAAAGAGAGGGAAACAGAGGATCCGAAGTGGGCTCCACGTTGACAGCAGAGAGCCCGACATGGGGCTCGAACCCACAAACCGGGAGATCACGACTTGGGCCAAAGCTAGAGGCTTAACTAACAGCCACCTGTGAAACGGTCCCGTTTTCACTTCTTTTAAGTGAAATACAATTTTGACATAATTACTGCTGTTTCTAAATAACAGGCTTATGTTGCTGTCTGATGATTTTTTTTTTAAATTTTTTTTTTCAACGTTTATTTATTTTTGGGACAGAGAGAGACAGAGCATGAACGGGAGAGGGGGCAGAGAGAGAGGGAGACACAGAATCGGAAACAGGCTCCAGGCTCTGAGCCATCAGCCCAGAGCCCGACACGGGGCTCGAACCCACGGACCGCGAGATCGTGACCTGGCTGAAGTCGGACGCTTAACCGACTGCGCCACCCAGGCGCCCCTAAGATTTTACTTTTAAGTAATCTCTGCACCCAACGAGGGCCTCACACTTACAGCCTTGAGATCAAGAGTCCGTGCTCTACTGACTGAGCCAGCCAGGCACCCCTGATGGTTTTTCAGTTTTTGACTTCCCGTTCTAGATAATTGGGACTGAGCTCTTTCTTTGCTTCGCTTCACCACACAGGTGCTCCCCCTTTGCATCTGCATAAGCTCCCGCATAATTTAAATTTTGTTTAGGTGTGTCTTTACCGTTTCTATTCTTATGACCGTATAAATGCCAGAGCTGATTTATGTAATGAACTGTGTGATTGCTTTTCCTATTTGACCTTTTGTTTCCTTAGGAGTTAATTATCTTGTTTTCATTTCCTTTTTAAGTTGGTGCTGATTCACCCGCCGTCTCCAGCACTCGTCCGGTGGTGGGTGCAGAGCCCCGTCTTCCCCCCGGGGGACCCTGTGCCCTGTGTTCCATGTTTTCTTCTTGACTTCTCATTTTGCTTGAGCGCATCTTCCTGTAGCCTGAGAAATGGTGCATGAGAGGTAAAAGTTTGTGAGACCTTGTATGTCTGAAAATGTTGTTATTCTGTCCCCATGGTTGATGGAGAGTTTAGCTGGCTTTGGAATTGGAAATAATTTTCCTTCAGAGCTTTGGAGGCATTTGTTTAATTGCCTTTTGCTTCCAGTTTTGCTCTTGAGAAGTCTGAAGCCATTCTGATTGTTTAATTCTGTCTATATGACCCCTACCCCTGAGCCCCTGGGAGCGTGTAGGAGATATATATGTATCTATATCTGTTCTGTATCTGTATATTTAAGTTTATTTATTTTGTAAATAATATAAAACATTTATTTTGTAAATAAAATAAAACAGTGCAGGTGGGGAGAGGCATAGAGAGGGAGACAGAATCCCAAGCAGGCTCCGCACTGTCAGTGCAGAGCCCGACCTGGGGCTCCAACCCATGAAACCATGAGATCATGACCTGAGCTGAAATCAGGAGTCAGATGCTCAACCGACTTGAGTCACCCAGGTGCCGCAGGATATTCTCTTGTCACCACATTTTTATTTTCTTTAAAAAGTGTTTTTTTCATACGGTCCACATCCTATGCTTAGGACAGTGTCTGGCCTAGGTAGAGTTGGTGCCCAGTAAGTAATTAACTGTCACTGAGCTGGTTGCACCTCTCACCTCCTCCTTTGGAGGCCAAGGCCTAGCTGTTGGTGTTCTGCAGGCCAGGTCGTAGGTGACCGTTGGATCCTCCAGCCTCTCATGTTGCCTCGCTCAAGTTCCTGCCGCTCACCCGCCATGGCTCAGTGGACATAGCAGTCCTACTTCTCAGTTTGAAGCATCAACTTCTCATTGCACAGAATTGTCCACTTAATTTTGTAAAGATTTATTTATTTATTTTGAGGGAGAGAGTGAGCATGAGTGGGGGAGGGGCAGAGAGAGAGGGAGAAAGAGAGAGAACCCCAAGCAGGCTCTGCACTGTCAGCACAGAGCTCGATGCGGGGCTCGATCTCTTGAGTGAGATCATGACCTGAGCCAGGATCAAAAGTTGGACGCTCAACCGCCTGAGCCACCCACATGCGCCCAGAATTGTCCACTTTAAATTTGTCAGTTTTCATCATCCCTAACAGGAGTTGATTTTGTAACACTGAAGATTTCTCTTAGTCACTGGTGTGTTAGAGCAAGTAAACTCAGTCTTGGAGCACTTAGCTGGCTCAGTTGGTAAACGTGTGACTGTTGATCTTGGGGTCATGAGTTTGAGCCTCATGTTGGGTGTACAGATTACCTAAAATCAATAAATAAAATTTAAAAAACTCTCAGTCTTTGCCTAACCGGTTATGTTAAAGGACAAATTAAGAGAATAATTTTGGTATTAGTAGGGGATATTTTCAATTTTGCATATTACCTCTGCTTAGAGTATTTCAGAGTAGAAGTAAAGCAACAGAATATGCAAATTAATATTGCTGTCTGGTATTTTTGTCATACTTGAGTAATGGTGCCTTAGTGATATGCCAGTGTGTCAGTTACTGCTAGTCATATCTTTAGTTACTGTCAAGGTCTAAATCCTCTCCTTATGTGTATTCTGAGAAATTCATGATACAGACGAAGGTGGATGGTTCAGTTGCCTTGTCCATTTATTTCAGGTTTGAGCATGTAGGGATTTAATTTTCTTTTTATTTTTAATTAAACAAAATTTAACGTTAAAATTACTTTAGAGGGGAGAGAGAGCATGCAAGGGGGAGAGGGGGAGAGAGAGAGAGAGAGAAAAAGAGAGAGAGAAAATGAGAATACCAATACCAAGCAGGCTCCACACTCAGCACTGAACCCCATGCAGGCCTTAATCCCATGACCTGAGCCGATATCAAGAGTGACCTGAACAGAAATCGACAGTGGGCTCAGTGGACAGGGTGCTCAACTGACTGAGCCACCCAGGCACCCCTAAATTTTTTTCTGGGAGGGGGTTGGGAGGGAAGAGGGAGAGGGAGGGAGAGAATCTGAAGCAGGTTCCTGCCCAGCATGGAGCCCTGTGCAGGGCTCGACTTCATGACCATGGGATCATGACCTGAGCTGAAATCAAGTCAGATGCTTAACTGACTGAGCCACCCTTGCGTCCCTAATTTCTTTCTTAAATCAAGGGACTGTTTTGGTTTCCTGTATTTCCAAAGGGAAGTCAGGCCTTTGAAAGGACAACATTGTATAATTGACCCTTCAATAACACAAAGGTTCTAGGCCTCGACACCCAACACCTGACAGCCCCGTACAGTCAGAGATCTGCCTGTAACTTTGGACTCCTCAAACACTTAACTACTAATAGCGCACTGTTGACTGGAAGCCTTGCTGATGATATAAATAATTGATAAACATGTATTTTATGTTACATATATTATACGCTATATTCTTACGATAAAGTAAGGCAGAGGAAAGAAAACTATTAAGAAAACCGTAGAGAAAATGTATTTACGTTACAACACCATAAAATATCCACGTAGACGTGGACCTGCACAGTTCACACTCGTGTTCAAGTGTCAGCTGGACTCCCTCACTTCTGCCCTCTGGTAGTTCATAAGAGAGCATGTCTGTTTTTATTGTTTTTCAACTGGCATCTTAGAAATAAATATTGCCGGATTTTTGGGTTACAAAATGTTACATGTAGGATTTAACTGGGGATCTGAATGTGGAGATAAACTAGGTTTCTTGGGTGTTGTGTCACATGAGTCACATGAGTGATGTGAATCCTTGGATATGAGAGTCGTGTGTATTAAAAATACACATCAAGGGGCGCCTGGGTGGCGCAGTCGGTTAAGCGTCCGACTTCAGCCAGGTCACGATCTCGCGGTCCGTGAGTTCGAGCCCCGCGTCAGGCTCTGGGCTGATGGCTCAGAGCCTGGAGCCTGTTTCCGATTCTGTGTCTCCCTCTCTCTCTGCCCCTCCCCCGTTCATGCTCTGTCTCTCTCTGTCCCAAAAATAAATAAACGTTGAAAAAAAAAATTAAAAAAAAAATACACATCAAAACCATTATTCTACCCAATAAAAATAGCAAAGATTGAACCATGATTTAAAATAATGGAGACAAAAGTAGTTCTAAAATTAAAGAAAGGTGGAAGATTAAGCTTTAGGATTATTTTTCTCTTTATTATTTTAGGTAGTGACTTTTGTAATCTGTGGACACAGTACAGACTTTGTTGAGGATTTGAATGAGACAAGCAGCGTAATAGACCATAATAGCTTTGCCTGTTGAACGGTGGATTTGAGAGGTTTGACCATAAGAAGGGCTTCTCTTGTTTAAGGAGCTTAATTCAGATGTCAGATTTGTCAGGTGCTGTGTTGGAGATTATGCATTGAGCACTGAGTTCTTTTGCTTTCACAGAGCAAATAATGGGACTTCAAAGAGTTCTCTCTCTTTTTTTTGAAGTAAAAGCATAGACATAATTTTCCATGGCTAGTAAGAATAACCTGGGGCCAGATATTGAGTGTGTTACTCAGCAGGGAAGCGGGAGGGGAGTATTTGAGTACCATGTTCCAGGTGGGTTGGCTGTCTGTTGCCCCTTACATGTGGGGATTGAGGCTCCAAGAGGTTCCATGATAGGTGAGGGGATAATAGGGAGTTGGAATCAGATGTGCTGGCTCCCAAGGCTGGTTTATGCATTCATTTTAAAGTTTTTGTTAGGGGCGCCTGGGTGGCGCAGTCGGTTAAGCATCCGACTTCAGCCGGGTCACGATCTCGCGGTCTGTGAGTTCGAGCCCCGCGTCAGGCTCTGGGCTGATGGCTCAGAGCCTGGAGCCTGTTTCTGATTCTGTGTCTCCCTCTCTCTCTGCCCCTCCCCCGTTCATGCTCTGTCTCTCTCTGTCCCAAAAATAAATAAACGTTGGGAAAAAAAAAATTAAAAAAAAAAAACAAAGGAAGTGTACCATTAAAAAAAAAAATAAAGTTTTTGTTAGGTTGTTTAAGTAATCTCTGCACCCAACCTGGGGCTCGAACTCACAACACGGAGATCAAGAGTCGCACGGTCTTCCACCTGAGCCAGCCGAGCATCCCGTGTTTCATTGATTTATTGAGCACATACTTCCTGCATGCCTGTGGAGCGGCAGGCATTGTTCTGGCTGACTCATTGTTCCAGAATCACTGGGAAGCACACACAGCCCAAGAGTTGCAAGAAAGTCTTAGGGATGCTGTGGTTGCTAGGCTGACAAAGTGTGGTGTTTGAGCAGACGTAGAGTCCCGGTATTTTACCCTTTAGAAATCAGTGTAACCGTTACAAGAACCCTTTCAACTGAGAGTTTATTTGGCAAACTTGAGAAGTTTCTTATTTTAAGTGAACTCTTACCTATCTTTCTTTTAGTTTTCTGCCATTTTGTTCAGGGCCCGCTCTTTACCTTCACCTAGATGCATCATGTCTTCGCCTGAGGTTTCTTCTAGTTTCTTGTGGCACTTTCTTCACTTAATTTTTTTAATCAAAATGGAATTTAGTGTACAGTGACGGTAGGAATACAACACCTTTTTTCCCCCTAAATAGCCAGTTCCTTTAGCACTCTTTTTTATATAAGCTGTCTTTGGTCATAATGACTTAGCCTGGAACTTAAGAGAGCTACGGAGCAGTCTAAGCATGTATGCTGCTGTGGGTTTCCCTCTGAAGAAGTGGCATGCGTAGGTCTATTTATAGGATGGTGGGTTGGATGAGGGGGTATGGAAACTGCTATGATTGAGGGGTACCTGAGGGTGGCATGAGGTATGAGCTCGGGAAACGGAAGATTTGGAGAGTCCTCTGACTGAACCACAATATTTGAAATGTCTTGTAAGATAGTAAATATATTCTTTGTTTATATTAGAGGGGAGAAGTTGCCTCAATGATAGAAATTTAAGGAGGGAGATTGAACTCAGCAAAAGGAATAACTTTCTAACTACCTATCCGAGCAGTCTAACAAGGAATCAGCTGTCTTGCAAAGTACTGAGGCCCATGTTAGAGGTGTGTCTGCAGGTGTTGAGCGGTCACTTATCAGGGATGTTCCCGATTGCTTAGCTCCCAGGTGGAAACTGCACTG